GGGAGCTGGGGCTTGGGAGTGGGGCCACCTGGGAAATGATATTGTGCAGGCAGGTTTTCCACCAGCCCCGTCTCCATGAGCACATGCCAGGCGCACAAGTTCTGAGCGCTGGCACTTGTGTAGGAAAGTGAGACACGGACGGTGCCAAACCCACTGGCACCACCTTGCATCACCAAATGGGGTCACACGAGTGAAAGAGCAAAGTCTGGCACACGGGGGGCTGTCCCGTCAGCTGAGGGCCGGCAGGGCGGGGCGCTGGCACCCACAGGCACAGCACGGCGCAGGCAGTGTTTGGAGAGCAGCAGGGGCAGCCAAAGCCTTCCCAAGACTGTGCACCGCACAGCAATGCCCAGAGAACATGATGCCATGCTGAGCTTCACCACCTGGGCTAGCAGGACAGGATGACATCCTCCTCCGGCTGGGCCTGGGGCTAGGGCATGCAAGCAGTTTGCTCACCCAGCGGGGTGCAGAGATGCCTCTCTCCCGGGTCCTGCAGGAGGCGCTGTTCTCTGCAGCGACGCAGGGCTGGAGCCGTGGCCCAGCCCTAGACTCCTTGGGGCTCCGGCACAGCCTCCTGCCCCGCCAGCGCAGCACCATGCACCAGGGTCGGTCTGGCTGGCCGGCCTCGCCCAGGATTCAAGGGGCCTGTTTTGCAGGTGGGACCTCAGAGCACAGTCAGCAGCGTCCAGTGCCTGTGCAACCACCTCAGCGTCTTTGGCAGCTCCTTCTTCACGGTGCCCAGGACGGTGGACATTCAGGACACAGGCAAGCTCCTCTGCAAGGTGGCCAGCAACCCAATTGGGGTGGCCTTGCTGGCCAGCCTGCTGGTGCTCCATGGTGTTGTTGGCGTGTGGGCATGGAGGAGAGACCAGGTGGATGTCAGAAAGGTAAAGCGACCTGGCTGGGGGCGCTGGGCCAAAGGGAGCTGTGGCTACACAGGTGCAGAGGAGGGTCCCCTGCTGACTAGCACAGCCGAGGAGGGGAACCCCAAACTGGGGAGCGTCTGGAGGCCACAGGTGTGTTTCGGACCCCAGAACTCCCCTGCCCGCGGGGTGCTTGCTCCAGCTCCACAGGCATTGTGGGCCACAACCCGCACTTAGGGGCCCCGGGATGCCGAAAACACACCGCTGGTGGGGACAGGGTAAGCATGGCCCCAGCACCCCTGCCCAAGTACCCACAGGCAGCCCCAGCCTGGCCAGCCGGGCTCGTACAGGAGCAGGTCCCCCTTGCGGGCCAGGCCAGAGCCTGGCAAAGGCCTTGCCACCTGAGCCAGAGGCTGCTGCCCCGCGCTGCTCACGGGGGTGCTGGGGCCCAAGCCTGCCTCGCTCCCTTGCTCGGGGGTGGGCGCTCCCGGTGTTCCCAGCCAGGCTCTCTCCTGTGGCTGCAGGTGAAGGTCACGATCCTGGCAGACAGCGACCCCGGGGCTCACGTCCGGTATGTGGTCCAGGTCTTCACTGGATACCGCAGGGGAGCAGACACAACAGCGAAGGTAGGCAAGCTGCTGCGAGTGACCCCCTTGGGTACGCTCACTGCCCCGCCCAGCAGGCTGCGCTCTGGGGTGCTGGTGCCCACAGGGGGCTTCTACGAGGTACCCGTCAGCACATCCACCTCCTGGAGCCCACCTCAGATGCAGCCCAACACCCTCCAGCCAGCCGGGGGGTGAACTCCATGTAACTGGGCCAGGGAGAGACAGTTCTGTGCAGCGGAGGAGGTAGCAGGAGCTGCAGGCAGGAGCAGCGTGCTGAGCTCTGTGCAGCCGGTGCAGGGAGGCACAGGACCCTGCAGCATGGGGTGAACTGCAAACAGAACGGGGCAGACAAACCCCAAACGCTGGTGGATATTCCAATACCTAGATTTACCAACCAGCCCAAAACAGCCTCTGTAGTACCTCACTGGTTACTCAGAGTCCAAACAACGCAGTTCCCTTAAAGTGTCCAGCCTCAGGCCTCCATCCAGACACACCTGTCAGATATGATGATGATGACTGAAAATCTTATCTCATCATATAAAAGAAAAGATTCTTCCAACCCCAAAGGACCAAGCCCCAGACCCAGGTCAAATGATAACTTAGATCTTACCCAAAATACACGCTATAGTCAATTCTTGTTAACTAAACTAAAATTTATTTAAAAAAAAAAGAGAGAGATAGTGTTGTTAAAAGATCAGTATACATACAGACTTGAATTCAATTCTTGAGGTTCAGGTACATAGCAGAGATGCGTTTGTAGTTGCCAAAAGTCCTTTTAGAAATAGTCCATAGGTTATAGTCCAATGTCCATATTCAGGGTGGCTCTAGTCAGTGACTGGGGATCTCAATCCTTGTGGCTTAAGGTTTCCCGCTCTTGAAACTCAAAGCAGATCTGAGATGAAGCAGGATCGTGTCCCATGGTTTTATACATTTCCTGCAGCCTTTTGGCCTGAGAAAACAATAGGCCTAACTCTCCTTCTCCCAAACATCATGGCAATTATCACAGGATAATTTATCCATTAAAGAGTTCAGATACAGGTTACCACAACCTTCAAAGAGACATATAGACAATAATACTATTTCACTCAAGTGTCTTCCTAAATACTAATACTCCTTTTTTGATCTTTGAATCAAAGCTATAGCAATAGACAAGACTTGTTTGCTTACATCACAAGACCTGAGCAAACACCTACCCTTCTATCTCTAACAATGCCGGCTGCATTTCACAGTTCTGTTTCTTTTCCTACTTCCATAACCATTCATTAAATTTCGGCCTTGGGTCAGGTC